AAGAATTACGCGCTTAAAAAATACTCGATATAGGCTTAATAATAAATTTTTATAAAAATCATATTTATTATATAAAAATAAATACAATTGAATCGTTTGTGTAATTATAGTAATATACGTATTAATACGTATTTATAGTAAATTTTTCTGTTTTCGCTTATATACGTATTAATTATATTAAGTAGCGCGTAATGTTTATCTCTATACGTATTTATTACACGTTATGTTGTGCAGGATACTGATTATAATGATCGAGCAAATAATTTCATAAGAAAAATGTTTAATAGTATCCTAAAAAATAATAACTAATTAATTACAGTAATAATAACAATACCAGATAAGAAATAACATTTCCAAAAAAATAAAAAGTATTGAATTTCGTTCACACTATTTACATAGGTATAATATATATATTGTAGAATGTATAATAGGAATATTATACCAATTATATAATTCTTAATTGTATAATAATTGTATTACTATTATTATAATAACACCTACTAAATGTTTTAATTAATATTTTTCCATAGATATATTTGTATAGTTTATAATATTATACGTTTTAGCTATTTATTATCTTGTTCCAATTTTAAGCGGTAATATTCATATTATACGCCTAATATAAATTTTTTAATTTTATACAACTATCAGTTCCTATATAATATCATGCATTTGCATATAAGATATTCAACAACTGAATTTTTTATTTTAGTAGGTACCTTAACTAATATGTATTATATTTATATACGAGTAAACTATAAATGCATCTTAAAATTAGATGTATTATTGTTCATTTTAATGTAAAATATGTTGAATTACATGGTATATAATAGCAATATGGACATTAGATAATCCTATCAACGTATATAACGTATATAATGTATGGTAAGCGTGTACATAATATTCTTTTAACCACAATATAAACTAATAAATAGTCCGAATATATCGTATTAAACATACCTATATAGGCATTATAGATGTGTAAAATAGTAAATAAACACTTTCAATATTTAATATATATATTATATAATTGAATCATTTCTATAAAATGGCACCTTTATCCTTTAACTTTAAGTTATATACAACAAGATACATTTGCTAATATTTTTATTGATATTTAATAATTATTTATATAGGTACTTCTTATAATATACAATATTATCTACTATGTATATTTTATTGTATTTTCAATATGCAGTAGATTCTTGTTATGTTGAATGTCGCTATTTATGTAAAATAAATCAGTTTTTATCATCTCGAGTACACAAATATTATTTTTATAACGGTAATAACAGAAAATTGTGCACACATTTTTACCACCGAATACTACATCTACACTTCAGCCCATGAACCAAGGCATTGTATAGGATTTCAAAATGTTTAATAGAAAATAAATAATCCGATGACTTGTCAATAATATCAATAATAATAAATATTTTTTCATAAAAATATAACGAAACAATAAGAATAATAATTGATAACACTCGAAGAAGTGTAACACCACAGACTATATCAAATCGCTTCATAAAAGCTGGTTTCAAATATGGTGATATAATTTCAATAAATAACTTAAATATTACTTTAACTCATACATAATTTAATATAGTTTTTATAGATGAATTTGATTTTCAATGCATATAATTTAAAAGAAAATAATGTTCAATAAGCCCAATAGGATTTTATAAAAAAAAAATAAAATATTTTTAACAATTTCCAATGGTAATCATTTTTAGAAAAAAAAATTGTATTTATTTTTCTGTTTTATAAATCTTATACCTGCAGAGTTTTTTTTTATAAATATATTTATTGAACGTCAGTCCGTAGGGACATGTTCGAAGAAGGGGTGGAAAAAAGAAGCGTTTTGCCTGTCGGAAAATACTCTCAATATATATTCGTGCACATACGTCTAAAAAAAGAAAAAAAGAAGGGAATATGTGGAAAAAGGGTCGAGGGAGACGTGTACACTTTTTCCCTCGTCGTCACAACTCCCTCCACCATTCTAAGCAAGTTGGCAGAATAATCAATATGAAGAAAAACTGATATTATTTCCGGTACGAACGGGGGTGCGGTAGTCGCTCGCAAACATTTGGACTGTATAACATGACAGTCCACCCCCAGCATTCTATTTTTTTTTATTATTATTATTTTGGGGGTGAGCGGCCATTTTGTGTGAGGGACTCGATCTCTTAGTATTTTCCTATGAACAGGAGTTTCTATCTATAATATTTTACAATTTAAAAAGACCCAATGATTTTGAAATAAGATTATCAAAGGATTTTGTCTTGTTTTTGGTTGACACGGACGTAAGTCCGGTAATTCCGAACACCAATAACTCGCAGACACACAGGAAATTACTTTTTCCCTTGTTCATCAGTATAGTCCCCTCCGTTAATATAACGTTAAATTGGATACGAAATAACATACATTTATGTATTAAATAGTACCTAGTATACCTACACCAAATAATCCTGCACATCAAGATTACTACATATATTGTTTTAAGATCGTATTATATATTTTGATATATGTTGGTATCAAAAATAATAATAAACAAAACTATGTAATGCAATGATACAAACTTCTGTTTTTTTTTTTCAAAATATGATAACTCCTTTTTTAGTATAAAGTATAAACGATTCAGTAGATATTTTTTTTATTAAATATCGATGTACCTACCGAATTTAAAATTCAAACAAGTAGTTTCTTAGTTATTAAATGTGTACACTAAATAAGTTTTTGAAAATGGTTTTACAAAACTATAAAATAGCTATAATGTCATATATAGTGATTATTATAATAATAATTGAACTATTTACAAAAATTATAAATGTTTATAGATTAATATTACTTACTAAAATTTTCAATTCGCCTAAGTCCCATATATCTTCTATGCCCATTATCATTAATCTATTATCTTTAATACACAAAGTTGAATAACCTAAAAACCAATCATTTGAATTTTTTTTTTGAAATGTTAAAATTGTATGTCAAATAATTTATTGTAGAAAATAAAGGTTCTCATTTGAAAAATATAAGTTTATATCTTTACAGAACACAATGAAATAATATTTCCGTTTAAATCGTAAATATTTTTCATGATAAAATTACGTTTTGTGTGTTATTTTGATTGTTTATATACTCGTATTATATTATGTATATTTAGATGTGATTAAATAAAAATTATTTACAAATTTCTTGTATAACTTTAAATTGAAACTACAATTACAAAATATATAACTAAATATTCTATAAAACTAATTGTAATAATAATAAATTTAATAATATCAATTAATATTAGTCGAGTTTGATAAATACGTTTTCGGGTAATCAAATATAACTCGTTAAAAAATTGTATTTTATTGATTAACAATGTTGGTACAGGAACAAATGTTTAATGATTTTATATTACCTAAGTATAACTCGTCATTGTATAACTAAGTAAATTGATCAAATCTATTCTCTAATGAATTAATTATACTTAATTTACTTTTCCATTTTCATAGAATATATTTTCATTTTTGAGGTAATGATTATTCAGAAATATAAGATTACGATTAAAACTTTGGTCTTAGCTATTATAATATTACTACCAATAAATATTTAATAAAATAAAAAATATAATATTTGGGCATGTGTAAATTATTCTAAAAAACATTTATTTGTATCAATGATATCGTATTTCTTTAATCTTTAGAGAATCTTTTACTTTGTATTATACTACGATACTGCCTTTAAACTTAAACGTTCGACTATAAAGCTATCTCTTTTAATGTTATAAACATAAAATATACGATTAAAAAAAAGCAATTAAATACTCAATGCGTAATTTATATAATTAATTGTTTTTGTCACAAAATATGCGTAAAGGTACAAGGTGCCTATTATAAATACATTTTTGTACTACATGTTTTTATATGGATTATTACTCTTTAATCATTATAATATTGTACATTACAGTTTAAAATATTTTTGTTTGTTAAATAATACAAAAAAATGTATAAATTATTCTATAAGGAGGCAGTTTTAAAATTGTTCTCTTGTTTCGAAAAATAATTTAATAATTTAGAAATTATTTTACTTTCATAAGTAGAGCTGTAGGTAGAAACATTTTTATTTTAAACTGAGATTTTCAATTCATTTAAAATAATTGAAATAATTAGTATAACACTTTAAACAAATAATTATCATGTTATCAAAAAAATTTAAATTACTAGGTACAAAATTGGTTTAGTTTGGTTAGGTTAGGTTAGGTCTTAAACATCGTTTAAGAAAATAGACGTTTAATATCTATATTTTAATGTGTTAAATTTCTTATAAAAATGAAGAACTAAAACATTTTAACTTACTATAAGTACTAATTTTGTATTTTTTATTTTACTCATAGACTGGTAATAAACACTATTAAATAGTTTTATATTTATTATATAAGTTTTTCAACACTTTGCACTAATTTAAATGTTTATGATTGATCAAGATTTAGGTAAAAAAAAATAGAAATTAATCTGTAGTTAATTTTTCATAGAAAATAATAACAAGTTAAAACATGACTGATATTGCATAAATATCAAGTACTTTTATTACACAGTATTTGTTTTATGGTAATTAATATTATATATACTTCACTGTATAATCGTATGAAATATACGTATCATGTTATAAGGGGTGATTCATTTTTAGTTAAAGATTCTATTATGGTATATAAAATATATTATTTATATTTACAAGCATTTTACATGAAAAAATTAACATTATTCTTAAAATAAATTAAGTTTAGAAAACAAAGGTAATAAAAAAACTTTTTGACTCTATTTAATAAGTCAGTTAATTTCACTATAATAATAACTTACCAAAATACACTGTATTCCACTTGAAATCTTCGTAATTTTGTCATAAATATTTCGAGACTTATCACTAATAAAACTATTGATTTAATATTTATAATTATATAGACTAAGATTCTTATAATATCTATTATTTTAGGAAAAAATATTGCTGGTATACGGAGTGATGTATGCATCGGCTGGTGACGATCGCGGCCAAATGATCCATTCGTACTGCATATGTTATCTTCCAAAGACCCGAACGGTAATGTGGCGATGTAGAGGAAAGGGTTATGAACTATTGTAATATTTTTAATGTATGTATAGGAGGAGAGAGGAAAAAATGAGAAGTGAAAGGGTTACACACGTTGGTTCAGCTGTACCCCGACACATCAACGCATCGAGGTAAGTGGGTAATATTAAAAAAAAAAAACGGTTCGTTTTATAAATTAGCATTTTTCTACGTACATTGTCCACGTACTCGGAGCCTGTTCTTAAATTACCATTTTCACCCATACACCCGGCTCATTATAATCCCCAGATCCCTTTCATTAAACACTCCACGCGCACACAACTACGCGCAAGGCTTCAGCGGAATTAGCTCGGGAGCAGACAAATCGAGTGTCACTTACAATAATATCTGCTACAGCACCTGACAAATTATTATAGAATATTCAGAGAACTTCAATAAAGCCTAATAGCAAAATTTGTTGTATAACATACTTTACATATTATTTGTCGCCGCCACAACAACATTTTAAAATTAATAATAGTGTTATGCACATTCTGCGGCTATAACACAATTTTAGTTTCAAGCACATACTCCACATGCCATTCCGCCACTGACGAATGGACACATGCTCAAAATCAATAATTTTAATTTTGCCTGTTATTAGTGCCATCTATGAATTATTATGTAATAAGTAAATGTAGATCACATACCAGATGCTTTGTCGACCGCTGCGCGGAAATTAACACGGTTACCGTAATTATCGTAATTATATATATATTGGTTGTGCTAACAGGAAACATAAACTTAGCATTATTTAGTTTATATTATTTTTACCTATTGTGCCAGGAGATGCCGTAATTTCATATATATTTTGTGTTGCTATTATTCCCTTTACTACTTATACTTATTAATTACTGTACAAATAGTAAATTATACAGTAACTTATAAGTTATAACCAACTAAATTTTAGTATTATCTATCTATTTATTATTCATAATCTTTATGCGAAGTATTAGGTGAACGAGTGTGTATAATATAACTTTGTGTCTCTCATAGCGTATACACTATTATAATTTATATAAAAGGTATGTAGTAATATATAGCTATGTTTATTGTAATTATAATATTATTTGATCTGTTTATATATTTTATATATAGTATAGCAGCATAGATAGCACATTTTTCAATTCAGGCTTTAACGTAGGATTTCAAGAAAAAATAGTCTTCAGTCTTGTATTGTTTATTAATAATTATTCAATTAACTATAATTATTTTATTTTATTGTATTGATTGCACGTACATTTTTGTTGCGGGTAAACATGTCGTGCCTGGACGTGTACAGATGCTAAAGAGGTCCTGCTGAGAGGGTTATCATGGTTCAGTAGCGATTAAAAAATAACTAAAAGGAAAAAAAACAAACCCCTGTCATTTCCATTGTTCCACTGCGAGCTTGACGTCCGATGCATCCTATGACAGTAGAGACAAACCGCGCCCTTTCAAATAATTTTGAATGTTTTGCCAAGCACGATTATAAAGCTGCAGTTTAATATCATGTGTATATGATTAATGAACGATTGTTTCGGTTATTATACATATTTCTACCTTACATATAAGTATATATTGTCCCGATTATATTAATGTTAGGTAATCATTTTTCTCATGAATTGACCCTCTATGATTAAACCCGATGGAGGTCTATTAATAATCCTATTTTTATAATGGTAGTATATTTAAATCTATAAATCAAAAATATAACTATATACTAGACTAAAATAACGTTAAAAATGTTTAATTATTTACATTTTTTAAGAAAAAAACAATAGCTTTTCAAATTTTATTTCATACATTCATATCATAATAACATATTTTGTAAAAAAAACAGATTTTTTTTTTTTAAACTAAAAGCTCAATACTTTATTATACTTATTTGCATTTCCTGAAATTATTATGATTATCTTTATGCTATGTAATCATAAATGACAATATAAATTTTCCACAATATATTAGCATGAAAACAACTTAAAAGATTTCGGCACGATGGCAGTCGTTTGTAGTCACTGGCATCATTGTCACCATAAGAACAATAACTTATTTTTGGGACATATAGAGTAAAACATTTACTGAATATGTTGTGTTGCAAGGCCTTATACGGAACACGTATAAGTTTGCCTGCAATTACAGTTTCCGGGGGTGATGTAGACGTTTATCAAGTTAAGGAGGTCACAAGGTTTCCAGAGGGAGTCAATAATTTAATTACAAAAATTTCAAACCACCTGCTGATATAATTTTACGAATCTTGTCGATCTTTTAGTCTATTTAATTTATGATATTACGTAATTGTATATTTGTAGAATATATAAAAATGAAACGTATAATAAAATAATATAATGTACACATACAGCTGGTACGTTATTTAAGAAGGGATGAGGTTTGATTTTGTTTATATATAAATATAATATAAAACAATCACTTATATACTATAATAATATATCTTGGTATACACACTTACACATGCACATATAATATGTATAATGTATAATATACATTTTTTTTTTACGCATATAACGAATCGATAAAGCTAAAGGAGGTTGAACTTTGCTAAACCACCTAACCCCCCCCCCCCCCATTCACCCCTCTTTCTGGGTTTACTGTTCGTTTGGTAATACGCTCTCTTTGGACAGTCACATACGTATATGTGCAGTCGACATTCGATTTGCTTGCCTGGGTTTTTGCTTTGCCTTTTTTTTTCTTATCGAATTATCTCGGCGTCTTGGATTTGATTTTTGAATTTCACTGAAATTCCTTTTCTCCGTCGCTCTCACTTTATCAGATTTATATATATATATATATGTATGTATAAATGTATACATATGAATGCTCACGTATATATCTCGTTCCATTTGGAAGAAACGTATGACGTATGCGAAAAGTGTACACAACCACTCGAGTCAAATATAAAATGTATAATGTACACACGCTCGAGCGTCTTCCGAACACCCGCTCGCCGTGCTCCCGAGCACACGGTAGTAATACGGTTTGGAATACTCGCGTATATAAATATATATTTTCATATGTATTTTTCTCTCTTTTTTTTATTTATTTGAATCCCTGACTGAAATCTTCTCCATCCTTAATACATCACCCTATTTGAATAGCATACTTCTCTTTTGCGTGTGTGTAAATATGCACATATACATATATCACGAATTTTCATATTATTATAATAAAAATACTATTGCCGTGTACTTTTGAAGAAAAAAATATAAAACATTTTTTCTCAGGTCCCTGAAAACTATGTTCCAATTGTTTAAAACATATGAGAATATTTTGCATTATGTTCTTCTTTTGAACCCACTCTATCTCCGAAATAGTAAAAATGGCCAATATTATTGATTAATTTGTGCACATATATCACTGCGCTAAATTTCTTTTTTATACGTATTTGTATAGACAGATAAGGTACAATAAAATCATATTGATGTACGAACAACGTCTAAAATAATTTCAAACACTCTTATACTATTAAATACGTAATATATTACAGTAAAATATATGTTAGTGGATTTTAAATAAATTCACAATGAATATAGATACATACAAATAGGGTTAAATAAAATTATCTAGTATTAACTACCGCTAAATTCATAAAAATTGCAGTTATTCAAAATCATGAATATATTTATCTTTATCAAATACTTTTTGAATTGTTTGGACCTTATAATTTTTAATATATTTCTTAAAAATAAATAAAACATATAACTTATACAGATTAGATTAAAAATTATATTTTTTTTCAAATTTAATGATGTGAATATATTTACTTATAAGTAGTTCAATATAATGCGAACAAATTGTTTATTTTTGTTTTAATTACTTTTAATTTCAAAGTAAATACATACATCGAAGTTTAACACTATTGAGAAATATTAAATAATAATATGTACACAACTGTGTATTAATCACACAATATAGATTATTTATTATGGTTTAATGTTAAATAGACTTTCGATTTTTAAAAATATTATTTAACTTAACACATTTATAAAAAATACCTTTAGATATTTTGAAGACAATTATTGAAGGGATTAAATTTTGGAGAAATAAGAACCTATTGCAGGTGTAAGGTAACAGCATGATTATAAAACACTATTCTTCTTATTTTTTTTTTCTTACCCGTAGAGCCTTTCTGTTCCTGAAAGTTTTCTCGTTACATTTGAGCCCTCGGGAATACTCCATTTTTCTAAAATCTACCCTTTCTAAATTTTTGCCATTGCTTGGTATGGTATCTCTTCGTTGAGCAATGTTCACAAACCACTGGCAGCGACAGGTCGTATTTTTCCCTCTACTCTTCTCGTATCTTTCCCATTTCTTTATATACCTACCCTCAATCCATTGCTTTTTTTCGCGAAATCAATCAACTTAGGGTTTACGCTCTAGTGATATGGTAAAGAAATGGGTGGTGTACATATTATTACATATTGTCGGCCATTGCATATATGTATACACCCTCCCACACTAATTTTTCTCATACGACCCTGAAACTGTTGCCTTGGTAACAAACACATAGTATTTCAATTCTCTTATTCAGTTTCCTCTACGCATTTAGATTTCTTCTGGTTATATGCATGTACTATGTTTTAATATTTTTCATGAAACATGAATAAAATCTGCATACCAAACCTTATTCTGGCTTCAAAAATTTGTCGGGTAGGTCAAGAGCAGACATTTGGGTCATGGCCAGAAGAAAAAAAATAATAAGGGTGAATGAAAACAGATGAGAGAAAGTTTTTAAATAAAAAAAAAAAGCGTACATATACACACTTACATAATATAGTGCTTTATTATTCGCCCTCGTTTTTAATGGTTCTGGAAAAGACGTCGTGGAGCGGATATAAGTGAGAGAAAGAAGAGGAAGCAAACAAAGTTAATTGAACTCCATATACCCGGATATGCAAAGACGAAGAATTGTGTGTGTAAGGGGTATGCATTTCTTGAATGAGGGAGAATTTCGCGCGCAAGTCAAATCATTAACATGCCTGCCGGGCCTACCCCTCTACTCACCAGAACACAATCCGCGTATACGTTAAATAAACTCATTCATCTTTTGCCCTGCTTCCCTTACCACCACAACACCACCTTCTCTTTTCCACTGAATTTTGTTTACAAGCGTGTG